GCATATATGTAAAGTACTAAAGATAGTGATTTTATTTGATCATTTTAATAAGTTTATTTCTTTACGACTGTTAAAAATAAAAACTGCAAGTGAAGTTGCATATAATCTTATAGATAATTTTTTTTATTTGGAGCTCCGTGTATACTACATTCGGAAAATGATAGAGAGTTTGTAAACCAAATTATAAATGATTTGAGGGATGAATTAAAAATAATACACGAGAAACCACGTCATTCGCAAAGCTAGGAGAGTGTTGAACGAACTAACCGGGACATTGAAAATATCATTTATGTCTGGGTGAAGGAAAATCAGTTAAGAAAGTCGTAAGATTTTGTCAATTTGCTAAAAATATTGAATATCAAACAACAACTTTATGCAATTTTGTTTGGAAAAAAAAATTAGTCTTCAATTAAATATGTCATTTTTATCCAATGATTTTTATAAAAAATGTAAATGACGATAATGGTTTACTACAATTTGTAGAAAATGAGAATAAATATGAAATAAAGTTTATAAATGATAATGAAACAGAAGTTTTAAATGAAAACTATTCTGGACAAAAACAAAATTTTAAAGAATCACGGGAAAAAGATTCTGATGGACTAATGGCGCAAGTGAAAAAAATTAAACTAATGAGTAAAAATAAATTTTCACTTTTAACAGTATAAACAGTGGAAATTCCAGTGCCTTTTGTTGATCGAGAAAAGTTGATGCAAATAACGTGTTTGGTGTCACATTAAGTATTACTATCGTCAGTAATTCTATAAAATAGGAATCAAAAATGTAATTTCGTCATTACTATATGCCAAAAATTAGAAATTTCAATGTAAGGAACAATTAATTACCAGCAATAATGTACCAAATATCGAAATACCATCGAGGACTACTAGTATTCGAAATTAATTAACTGGATGACAAGGATTTATTTTTTGTTTTTGGAAATCTAAGTGCAATACAGGAAGATGTAAATGTAAACTGTAAAACATTTGCTGTAGATTAATGCTATGATTCCAATATGTGTAGCAGCAACAAATAAATAAAAATACATTTTTATCTTATTTTTTCAATTATATGTACTACATTTTTAATTTTTTAAACTAACATTGTACGAGTACTTGATATAATTACGTTTTAATTATTATTTAAGTGTATTCAACTATGTTTGTAAAATAATATTTATTTTATAATTATTTGTATTTACTGTAAATATTTAAGACGCCACGGTATTGCCCTTACAAAAAAGTCACTATTCAGTTTTGCCCAAATGAGATTGGTTACAACTAGGTTTGCCTTTAAAAAAGCTAAATTATACCATTTTGACCAAGGATTGTGGTGATTCGCGTTTTGCCCGGGAATTTTTGAGATTTGCCCGATTTTGACTTTTGTCCGTAACATATATACATAGTTATAAATTGTATGCTTTGTTCGATCGATCAATATAAGTGTACTATTTTAGTTCTATTTACCGAGCGTGTTGTCAAATTATATACATGCATATATTTGTGTGTGTGTGTGTGTGTGTGTGTGTGTGTGTGTGTAGATACTTAGTGGTTGTTTAAAATCTAAATATTAGATTGCAGTATTCGTCGGAGGAAAACACTAAAAGAATAACTATTGCAATTATTGCGTGACTCGTGTTTATCTGCAATGCGCCTACCCTCTCATTCGTATCGGACCCCGAAACGATGTCTGACGTTCTCTCTACCAGATAGTTCATTATACATATTTTTATAAAACACACACGTATATGCACCTATATATTTCATTAGTAAATCTGAACAGAAATGCGCACGACTAAAATATGTACTTGAACATTTATATCAACTGTGGTAATATCATTTTTGCGGGTCTACCAATTATAGTATATTGCAAAATAATCATACATTTAGTACAAGATTTTACTTTTATTTACTTATTTGTGTGATACAATTAAGTTACAGTAATTTTTACGAACGTAACGCAATGGTATTGATTTGAAATGAATATGTGAATATCACTTTACAACAATATAGGACTTATAGGTATCTTCGTCCCTTAGAGCTAAAGAATTTTGTTTTCTTACATTTTGATCATCGAATATTTTCACTTATGTATAGTTGAATGTTTTCAAATAAATGGTTAATTAACAATTTCACTTTAGATTTTTCCGTCGCTTGAGAGGTTATCAAGCAGAGGAAACAGTTTTCATAACCCATTATCATGGTTTTGCTTATAGTACACAAAGAGAGATATCAAGGAATATGCCGGGAAGAGTGTTTTGTTTTAATATTTTTTTTTACTTTGTTTTTCGTATTATTAAAAAAATAATAATAATAATAATTTACATAACTTGGCGGGTCAGAAAGAATTTTCAACAGTTGGTATTCGACCCTCTAATTGTTGTACCACATGATCGACCACGATGTGACGTATTCTAGTGTTTATGTATTGGAATGAGGTGGAAGAGGAAGCAGAAAAACTGCTATTTTATGGTAATAGAACTTTATTTATTTTATTTTATTTTTAATATCACATATTGTAAAAATATTTGTACCGTTAAATTCGGGGCTGCCATAAAGAAAACACCAATAATCGTATTTAAAACAAATTATGATAATATTAAGTATTTATGTATAATTAGATTATAATAAAATTAAGGTATACTTGTTTAATATTTTATTAGTTTTTAATACAATTTTTTCTATAAATATATTATTAAATGGGATTATTTTTAAACCACTTAAAGAAAAAAGTAATGTAGCCAAAACGCAATCGTATGAATAGGTTTTCTTAGAAAGCTACATTAAGACCAATAACTTTTTATTATATGTTATTATCGCGTATATTAATACTAGGTATTCATTGTTTTCCTCATTTACTATATATAAATAAATCATTATTATAAAAGGCTTTAACTAAAGGAAGAATTTATATAATATCATACTATTATACGTAATATGCTATATTTATTATACGTTTTTGAAAAACTGAATTTTCAGGTTCAAAAAATCAATGGACTGTTGAATTTTAAATTAGATTTTGAAAAAAAATTAAATTAATTTTCAGATTTCTAATGATAGAACAGTTTTTTTTTGTAACAATAGTAAAAAAATTACTGAATATTTAGAAAACACGAATACTGTACATCTTACAGTTTTTTTTGTTAAAAAAAGTTTTCCGTTAATTCCCGAGTAAAACAAATTAAGTAGAATTCCTAGAATCCTATTTTCTTCAACCGAATTCTCGATGGTTATTCACTCGCGCTTAGAGCTTCTACTCAAACAATAGGGTACAGATATGAATTGAAAAACATCCCTGTAAGATCGATACATTCTTCGTTTCACTAAGAATGTAAAACGCATACATTGTTACATTGAAAAGCTAATAATATTGATGAAAAGAATAAAATAAGTTTAAAACGAGTATATATAGTTCGAGGACAGTTTTTACACTTACACGTTCAGAAGTGTCATTTATTTTGCACCTATTGTGACAAATATGTCACATCACTTTTGAAAAAGAATATCTTAAGTACACCACTGAGCACAATACACCCGCCATAAAAATAATTATGTGACGTGACTATACTGACTATATTGACACAAAGTAGAATCGATACGACGAAAAATAAAAAGATTTCCAGGAATATCGTGATGCACCGATATGGTAATACGTGGTTTGCAACATGAATAGATGATACTCGTGTATACCCGAGACACTACTTTTGCGAATAAATTAATCAGATCTCCGGAACGGGTTCAACACATCCGTTTGAATTTTTTCGTGTACTTGAAGTATTTTAATAAATAGTAAATTAATAAATGTTCATATGCAAATAGTAATGTATTACCTCTAAAAAAACGGCACTCGAGTCGTCGAAACGTTATTTTCCGATTAGATCGACCACTCGCATAAAGCATGGTTCACACTAGTCAGACACGTACTGACAGACACCGTACCACAAAATATTATAATTATTTGTTTGAATTTAAATAATTTTAACGTTTCCGTTCCGTTCATACACGTAGCAATACGACAGAATCAGTTCGGCATTCCGCAGAGCGAGAATGTTTTGTCAGCACGGCTCATTTTCATGGGCGTATTTTAGGGGTGGGCGAAGACGCTATCGCCCCTCTGAATCCATATTTAAGGAATTGATTATGTGTAAGATACACAAATTTTTTTAATTTGGATCATTTTATAATGAAATCAAATTACACGTTGCTGTGAATACTGAATTGGGCTTTTTGCCAGGTCCATACTTGGTGAAAATCAAATAAAAACACAAGCGTAACTTTCAAAACACAGACAGGTGTTAAAATAGAACTACACAAAAGTTGATTCTAAGCTTTAGATTAAAAAAAAAAATTACATTATTAAGGTTTCACCTGATTTAAATATTACCAAAAAATTTAACCTGTTAATGTTGAGCCTGAATCGAAGAAAAAATGTGAGTCCCCCCCCTCCCTAGGAAGTAAGTCTAAATACGCCCCTGCTCTTGTGTGAACCGGTCTGAACAGGTCTGTGTGAACGAAGAACAGACATAATCGTCTGCTGTCGATGTTCACTGGGAAAACTATTTGCATTCACAAATTTTTAAAGTACACACCTATAGAGTTTTCATTGATTTCAATTTTTTTATATTTCTCATACGTGATGAACATAGAATTATTAATCGAACTCGTCGGAGACCAAGAATGGATCTATGCGTTGTCACATAAAAAAAAAAAAAAAAAAAATTGGTACGATTTTGGACGGTGCGAATCATTCTTATTCCCCCGAGACCCTTCGGTTTGGCGAGGTGACCGTCGTAAGGCGACGGCGTTTCACCGCTGTTGTCACGGAGTCCGGAGGAAAAAGAAGGGCTTTGCGTGTCCGTACGGTTTTAGCCGTGCGCGAAACGCGCGTATGTGGCCGGAAAATGTGGGCGGTCGCGCGCAAGAAGATCGGCCGGGCGCGTGCCGACGCGACGCGCCAAGAAACGAGAACAACCGCGACGACGGTGCGCGCGTACCACGGGTTCGCGACGTACCTGCGCGATCGAACACGAACCGGCGACACGCAGCGTACGGCGTACTCGCACGCGCGCAGCACACCCACACGGGCTCCGGAGCGGCCGACTACGATTCCGCCGCGCGCGCCGCGTCGTGTGCCCTGGCTACCGACGCCGTTTACGTTTTGACGTGTGTACACTCGTGCGTCTGCTGCTCGCGCGGACGACACACGCGGTGATCTGTTCGCCACCGCCGCCGACGTCGACACACCGTATTTGACCGCCGATAACCTGCTCGTACACAGATATAAATATTTGTTTCTGTCCACCACTTTTGCTCTCTCTCTCTCTCTCTCTCTCTCTCTCACTCACTCTCTCTCTTTCTCTCTTTCTCTATTTGTCCCGATCGGACGACGGTCGTTTTCCTCCCTTCTCGTCCGTCTCCTAACGTGTCGACTCCGCACCGAACGTATTTATCCGATGTTTAACACAAGGAATTAAAATATGCGCACGTGTATTTTTGAGTACATATATACATGCTTATATAAGTGTGGTTAAAATGAAGTACAGGTAAGTGGTGTCACTTTAAATAATTTAAGTCGTCCGTGTGTGTTTTTCGATTTTAAAATTTGAACCAGTTGGTGTGGACTTGGACCACGCACTGGGTAACCCTTGCAATCGATTTTCGTTATTTTCCCATTATCCACTAATATTATTTTTCATATTTACATGTGCGTGTGCATGTATATTTATATATATATAATATGCCATCAAATGGATTTCGTTATCGATGTATTCGGTTTTGATGCTATTGTAATGCCTTGTTTTTTTTTTCGCGATTTTGTTAGTAATAAAAATAAATCCCCCTGTCAGTGGATATTCAACGTTCTCGGGTACTGTACCGGACAGTTTTATCCTTTTTTTTTCATTTCATCATAAAATGAAAATATGGAATAGATGCTTAGTATTTGAATTTTAGACGAATAATGAAATAATACTCTCAACGTGCGAAATCCGATCTAATTGATATTTCAAATTTTAAACTTGAAATAATCGTACAATTGTGGAAAAAATCAAATTTTATCAAATGTATTATTTAATAGTATTGTAGTAAAATTAAACTGCCAAATTCAGTTATCGAGTTAATATTAAAACATGTTCAAGAGTAAGAACAATCAAATATAAGAATCTGTAAACGAGTGATTTGATTTCGGGGTTTTAAATTTAGTTCGTAAATGAAAAAAAAAAAACTAAATTTTATATAAAATAAAGGCTTATAAATGAATGATATAACCATTTATAACCCCATATATTTTTAACTTCAATGTGTTTGTAGTCGTATATTGTTCGGAGCTTATGTATATAAGGGATTTATTGCAGATATGTAAATTTGTACGTAGGTGTATTGATATTTTCTTTAATTTAAGATCGATATGAAACAATTATTATAATGAAAACAAAACATGAAATATTATTTTTTTTTTATAATGTTTTGTTACCAATGAATGATCGATTCTTGATTATTATTTATGTATAGAAATATATTAGATTTTTAAATATCTTAAAATTAATTATTTATGTATACTTTAAGTATAAAATTAAAAATAAGTAAAAATAAAAAAAATATGAAGATAATTATTGTAATTCAGGTAAAACTGTCTGTAGAAATTTCTATAAATTCTTCTATATATACAGAGTTCCCGTCAAAAAATAAAATATTCAAATCATATCGTTAACCAGTAAAAACCATTTATTGAATAAGCAATGTTAATATTATATTTTTAACCTTTATTGGTGTCTGTTTACCCGATTTTATAATACCTACTATTCATATAATTATATAACCTATCAATATTATATGTCGTACTATTCAACAACAGAAAATGAAATAAATTAGCTTTATTATACTTTATTCAAAATTAATATATTTTAAAATCGTTAAAGTAATTGGTAAACATTGAAAATATATAAAAATTAAAAGTAATTTAATTTAAAACACTACATTATTTACTATATTTTATTATTGTTTCAATAATTTATAATGAAAGAAAAATTTCCGTATTCGTCTAGTGACTGAGTGGAGTGAGCTATTGGTAAACATATTTCAAGTATAAATTCAATCATAAAGTACTTCGTTAGAAGTAATAAAGATTATATCGCAAAGTTGAATGTTAAAATTTCAAAAATTGTTAGTAATTTTTCTGTATTTCCTCACGTGCATTTTTGAACAAATTCGTTTGATGTATCTATTTAATATCGTTTAAGTACAAACTAGGTAAGACTTTCAATCGTTTGATAAATTATAGGTCTACGTGAAACTTTCGAACCACTATTAACCTCACATACGTAACTGATTAAAGAAATAAATCATTGTAAAACCAATTCAATTTTTTTTACTTACTATGGAATTTAAAAAAGGTAATGACAAAAAAATGCATCGCTGTAAGAACTACATTTTCATCTGACGACAAAATATAATTTATTTTATACAATAGCAAGATAATTATGTCCACTATAATGTTTTTGAACTTTACAATCCATAGTTTTATAACATTGAAAAATCATTTAACATTCTTGTTTATATAATACTCATTGATAAAAGCTGAAAATATATGATCTAAAATAATATCATCTTTTTGACTATAGACTTAATATAAGCCATTAACGACTAATAGCATGAACGATTTTGCAAAAAACAGGACATTATATTTAAAAAATAATAAAAATCTGTTACTTACCCCGCAGTAATCTAAGTTTAACATACTTATCAAAAAATGTTTAAAATAAATATAAAATATTATATTTTTTTGTTTCATTTACCATATTTTTCATTACAATGAACTCTAAATAATTAAATGCTTAAATTGTATTCAAATTATATTTTAATCAGTGTTGATAAATATATATATATATATATATATATTTATTTCATTAATGAACATAATTCATATTTTATTTATTTTATTTAATCAAGCAGAATTTTGTGAATAATTTATGAAGCTCTGATTATTATCAAGAAATTAATTTTTCGTTTTCTTAATTTTTGTTACACGTTTTGACAATTGATAACAAATTAAAATACATTGTATGGTGTATAGGGATTTATATTTATTTGAATTGTATTTATACTATATATCAACACAGTTAACATTAGTTTTTAATTATTTATTTTAATACTATGAGTTTATAACATAGTATTCATATAAAACAAACTGTTAATATTCTTAGAAAAAAATATTGAAAGGGTACTTAGCAAAGTTTATTTATAAGTAATTCTTTAGAAATATTATGATAAATTTATTGAAATGTATATAAAAAAACTATAAAACATTTAATGATAAAATCTAATAACCTTGAATTGGGTATTTAAATATTATCAAATATTTAATAAACATTCTTTAAGAATATAAATTACGCACATTTAAGTATGAATAGAATATTTAGTAAAATTTATCTTATTAGCTTATCTTTAATAATAATATGAACTAATAAAATATTAATTTTTATTGATCTATAATTTTTAAATTATTATCTTAACATTTTTAAAATTCAGCAAGCTTCAATATTTTTTAGATTATCATCACTTATGAAATTAATATTTTGTACGTATTTTTCATCTTAAATTCTGTGATAATTTGTAATATGTAATATAATTCGAATTTCAAAAAAGTAAACACTTATTTTAATTTGACGGTTATTTAAATTATTTTTTTTAGTTACATTATGCATATTACTGATGAATAAAACTCATTCGTACACACACACATACAAATATATATATATATATATATATAAGTATTATTACGATTCGAATGCAAAACGTCGTTAATAGTAACGTTAAGTAAATTAATATGTATTTTCAGTGCTTACTCGGTTGTTAATCTTTTCCAAAACATAATAATAATAAGAATTCCACACGGATGAATCGTATGTAAAGATAAGACAATGCTTAAATTTTAATACAACAGATCAAGTCTCAATACAACCCCAAGTACTAAAATGCTTTCGTATATGAATATTACGTTTATATATTTAATAATTTTAAGTACTAGTAAATTATTTGCTATAAAATAAGATATATGCCATTGTATACTGTTCAATTATTAATTTTAATTGAAAAAGTTTCTGGTTATAATATCATATCGCATAATACAACATTCAGTTCTTTTAAAACTCGTATTTTATATTACAGTCATAAACTATGATAATCAAATCATTTTCAACAAAATTGTAATTTGAGATCTACTTTGCATTCATAAATCAATGTTTATGATATTTGCATGTTTTGTAGTTTACCCATCTTAGCTATTATGATGAACGGGTAAAAACGAATTTCTTTTACAACTCAACTTTTAAACTTTAACTGCTTGTTTAATTAGTTACATTTATTTATTTTGGAAAAGCAACTATAAATATAGGTATAATTTATTGAAGAATAAAATTATGTAATCAACATTTTAAATCGTCTAATATTAATAATATTTAATAGATAATGTTTAGTTATAGCGTTGTTCTTATTTTAAAATAAAACTCGTGGACATTCAGCTTTTATTGTATTTCTAGAAGATAATAAAAAAATAACTCGTAGACGCAAATACTTTTTCATACAGTATCGTAATATAATTTTACAACTTCTATAATTTATAATTAATTTGATTTGATTTTTATTTTTTAATTAATTATGATGGACTTAAAAAAATGTAAACTGTTTTGTAGATTTAATTATAACATTTCAATTCTGATATAAAATAAAAGAAACAAAATCGTCGACTGTATAAAATATGGTCTGGGTTGTACAATAGGGCCACTTAAATTAATAATACCATTAAATACTAGTTTGTAGATGTTTCTTTAAACTTATTTGAATAAATTTATAATTAATCTGTTACAATATATCTTCAAATTATTTTCACCAACATTTTCCAACTAAAGCAATGTTATTGATTACGTTAACATGCTGTACTATGGTTGTCTTGAATTACCCAACTAATTAAGGTCAACTTGTGACGGTCAACTTCATTATTTTATGGTTACTGTTAAGTTATAAGTACCCAATTTATAATATTTTCTTATAATAAATTTTCGGGTCCGTAATGGTACAGTGGTAACCTCGTGAGCACGTATAGGCGGTTTGATTCACGCCGCATAACAAAAAAATGTTGATTTTACGCGGCCACCATTCTACATGTTGTCGTCTGATTGTGTCATTTAACTAAAAACCCACACCACTGAAAAAGTAACCCACCCATGTTTCCTTTTGGATAAGATAGATTATGAGAGTGTAGTGTCACACACATGTAGTAATATGCGCATCATGGACGTAAGTAGGAAGGGGCTTAGGAGGGCTTAGTGTTCCCTTATCCATCCTTAGCCTTCCTTAAGATATTTATGTATTTGATGGAAAAAACGTTCCACTCTTTTTGTTCTTGAAACCATTTGAGCTCAAGGCCTGTGCATTTAAGGACCTTATTTACGTCCATGATATGCATAGATAAATAGATCATATCATGATCTACACACTACAACATTATTCGGGGTCAACTTTTAAATATTTTTAATGGAATTTCCAT